ATCAAATAATAAATAATATAATAATTTAAAATAGATCTCACTTACGCTCTTATAGACTTCCACAAATCGATTTTTGGGCGGTCTGCCGCGCTTGCGATTGAAGAATCCGTCGATTGATGTGATTTGTGTGGCCAGAGTTGGCGGCGGCGGCGGCTCATCGCAGCTGGCCGTGGACGTGGGCGTGGCACTTGACTCCACTGGCTCGTTGCTGTTGTTGTTGCTGCTGCTGCTGTGCTCCATGCCGCACCCGCTGGAGCTGGAGCTGGAGCTGAGGCTGTCTAGGGTTAAGGGCACGTGCTAAAAAAAAAAAACGTAAAAGAAAACAAAGCAAAGCGGGGCCAAACAAGTGTTAATTTCAATTGCAAATTGATATGTTGGGAATGCAATTGGCAATTGAGCAGGTAATGCCAACAAAAAAGTTGCCAAGAAACATGCAGAAAGCGAGTCATGGCCCAAAGAGGGGGCCAACGGTACCTGCGCCAGGCGCCGCCAGTCAGCAAAATGAGTAACCAAAATGACAAAAAAAAAAAAAATGAAATGAAATGAAATTGAAAAACAAACAAACAACATTGGGACCCGCTTCTAGGTAGAGCCCTGGCCAATACTTGGCTAATCGATCGGTTCAAATTGCACAAACTCAAAACTCAAGCTCAACTCTCGACCCGGTTGAAAGACCTGCCCCCTTGCAGTTGGCCAAGTTATTCGTCAGAACATCTCTCCCTCTCTCTCTCTCTCTCTATCCCTCTCTCTCCCTCTTCTTCTCTATCGCAGCACTGCATCTGGAGGCCACCAGCACTCAGGGAGGCAGCCTCTGCTCGGCCTGGGCTTCCACTTCCACGAACTGTTTGCATATGGATCTTCTCCAGCTTTCAGATTGCATAAATGTTATGAATGCAGTTTTTTGCATTTTCTTTTGAGGAGCAACTATGCAATAATTCGGATGGAGTTTTTTTGTGGAAAAATATTTGAATGGAATTCTATTATTATCTATTTATAGATTTTGGATAAATATTAATTGTAAAAAAAATTTTAGCTGGGCTTAAATATTTATA